AACGAGGGTGGGTTGGGGTGGGGTGAGGGGTGGGGTATGGTTCAAATGCAGTCCCGCGCAGGTATAAGGGGGGAGGAGGCTGCTGGCTTTTTCCGTGGTCTCCAGGCAGCGCCCACCCTCACCCTACACACTGACGCTCCCTGTTTGCTCTCCGCGCAGGTGGAGCAGCTTGTGTGGGGCTTCAGGTTCCCACGGGAGGGGCCAGAAGGGGGCTGGTTCACTGGGGTGCAGCGGAAACAAAAACTGATGAGGGCATGCGCAGGACTGAGGTGGATTCAGCCCCTTGGGCTGGACTTGCCTCTAATATTTTAGCCCAAAGAGCAGATTAGACTGGGGATGAGGTCTGAGTTTGCGGGGAATTCAGAGAGCCCTATCCAGTGTTTTGGAAAGGACCTGGTTCACCTAGCGCTGAGTTTAAAAGGGTTGGGCGTTTAAGGAGGATTTAAGCCTGAGGTGGGTGGGGATGTCGTCACCTGCTCTCTCCCCCCAACATCACCCCCACCCCCCCATTTCCTCCTGGCACTGCCTGCCTTTCCCATCAGAGAGCGAGCCCTGGACCAGAGGATCCTGATTTGCTGTTTGTTCAGCTCCAGCACAGGTGGGGCTTCAGATAACCTGCTGGACTTTTCCCACATTGTATGACGGTAGAGTGTGGGGGTTGGGGGAGCAAAGGAAATGTAGGGGAGAGAGGAGTGGAAATAGAAGTAGAGAGGCATTCATTTATTCAGGAAGGTGTATGCCAGGTATAAGGCTGTGTACTAGCTGTCCCTGAGTAGCTGCCACACTAGTGGGTCAGGGAGGAGGGCGGAGAATGACAGGTAAGCCAATGATTAGGAGGTATCGTCTACCAAGATTACAACACACAACATCCACCAAGACGCACAAAGCAGAAATTTAGGGATCATCCTGGATGCCTTCCTCTCTTACGCTTCTTCATCCCTGTGGTGGAGGCTGTGAGGAAAAGCCCCAACTCCTCTTCAGAAGTGAAGAATTTATTCTCCAGGTGCCGAGAAGGCTGTTGGAAGACAGCCCTCAACTGTCAGCCCCTTCAGGCGTTGCCTTAATGGAAGAAAGCTGTCTCATCCAAAGTCATGTTCCCTTTCTGGGGCATCCTGCAACCAATGACTGATGAGTAGAGAGGTATAAAAATTCAGCCCCCTCACCCTAACAGAGAGCAACTCTGAAAGATATTCACAGCTCCTCCTGGGGTTGACTGAGGCCTTTGTTGAGACTGAATTACTGCGCAGTTTCTCCCTTTGCCCAAGCCTCCTTTCATCCTTCCTTTTCCACAGGTGTTGACTCCAAGAGCTCTCCTTAGTAAACAGCCTTCACAGTAATCTCTGTCTTAGAGTCCACTTCCTGGGAACGTGACTGCCTCCCTCCCATATTTAAACAATCGCGAAGCCTGTTGATTCTAGCTACTGAGTGTTCCTTGAATCCGTCTACTTGTATCTCCACTGATATCACCCCACTGTTTCTTGCACGACTTTCCAAGCCTTCTAAGTGATCCACCTCATTTTACTGATGCCTCCTGACATCCATCCTCCACCTTATATCCAGAGGGATATGATCAGAATACAAATCTGATCATGCTACTCTTCTGACCTCTGCTTTTGGGATAGAGAAAGCCTTTTAAGAGAGTTGATGAAGCCTGCATGGCTTGGCTTCTCCTGACCTCTCTAGCCACGTTATTCCAAGTCACTATGCTTCTTGTTCTCTCTGCTGTAGACACACTGGCCTTCCTATAGTCTTTTCTTTTAATACAAGCATGTCCCCCAGTTACATGGCTTTTGCACATGTTCTCTGGAGGCTTTTCTTCCTTATCTAATTAATTCTCACTCATCCTTCTGATCTCAGCTCAAGGTCCCAGCTTTTCTCAAGGGGTGTTTTTCCTGGTTTCCCTCCTATGGAAGGCAGAATTATAAGATGACCCCCAATGTCCCTTGTATAATCTTCTATAATCTCATTCTTGTATAATCTCCTTCCCTGGGTGTGGGTGGAACCTGTGAACATGATGAGATACTACTGCCATGATTATGTCATATGGCAAAAGGAATTTTGCAGATGTCATTAATGTTACTAATCAGGTGACCTCAGATAGAGAGGGTATCCAACTAGTCTTACCCAAATCACATGAATCCTTGAAAAGCCAACAGTTTTCTCTGGTTGGCAGCAGTAGCGGAATTTCCAGAAATTTGAAGAATGAGATTCGATACATAGTTTCTGGCTTGAAGATGGCTGGGGCCATGTGGCAAGGAATGAGGGTGACTGTGGCTTGCTGGAAGATGGAGAAGGTCACAGAGCAAGCACCTGAGAGTGGCCTCTAGCTGAGAGCAGTCTCTGGCTGACAACCAGCAAGAAAATAGGGGCTTCAGTGCTACAAC